CAATGTCCAATTTTCTTACCAGGTCAGATGGGTAGCATTTGGAACAGAGCCCAAATAGCACCTACATTGACAGCCTACATGCCTCCCCTCCCCACTCAGGCTGTCTCTGGCCCTCTGTTAGTTCCACCTAATGGCAGTGGATGAGCTTGGGAGGTGAGCCCTGAGGCATGCTGTCAGGTAGCAGGCCTGCCTGGAGTTAGTGCAGGTTTTCAGAGCTTGGCTCAGAGTCTTGATTGGCAAGAGAAGCATGCTTGATAAAATTGGACTTTAATTTCCCCAAAGATAGCACTGCATAGATAGTCTCTCTTTCTTTTACTTGTCTAGGAAAGCCACCGCTAGCAGCCACAAGCAGAAAAGTTCATGGATGGTGCATGCTGACTCCTTCCAGCCTTTCTCATGTACTGCCGTTTTCTGCCCCAGAGTTCTTTTATCACTACTTGGAACCAGCAAGCCTAGGAGGCCTCAGTGTGGAGTCAGCACCACCGTGTGCCAGGAGTTACTGCTAGTTGCTGTTCTAGGAACTCTGTGAACTAGGGATTGTTAGGGCTCTCTTAGAGAGAGAGATGTTGGAACTGCTCTTCTTGACCGAAGGTGCAACTCTCTCCCACCAGGTCCTGTGATGGCCTCACCTGACCAAGAAAGAAGGAAGAAATCCCATTTGACACAGTTCTCCCAATCTTTTCCTTTATGAGGGGATGTCTTAGTTCATTTATGCCACTAGAACCAAATACTTGAGACTGGGTAATTTATAAAGGACAGGAATTGAGTTCTCACAATTCTGAATGCCGGGAAGTTCAAGATCAAGGTGCTGACAGGTTTGGTGTCTGGCAGGGGCCCTGTTTCAGCATCAGGATGGTTCCTTGAGTCTCTGTCCTGCAGAGAGGACAGACACTGTGTCCTCACTCTGCTGAGTAACAGAAATGCACAAAGTAGAATGAACCCAGTCCATTAAGCCCTTTTGTAGCAGGCCTCCTGACTGAGTCACCTGCTAAAGGCCCCACCTCTTTTTCTTTCTTTTTTTTTTTTTAAGAGATTTTTGCGATAGGGTGCGCGCACTTGCTAGAGAGACAGAGAGAGACAGAAAGCGAGAGATCACCACCTGGGGGGATGGCCATTCCACAGTCCCTTCACCACCATTCTCCTCTCAGGATTTTGGGCATGCACACACATTTGTGTGGTGTGAGCTTTTAGCTGCAGGGGTCCTGGACCCAAACCACAGTTGACTAGGTGGGAGTCCAGTGACGTTACGCCATCTGCTGGTCTCATGGACCCCATCTCTTAATACTATCACACTGGCAGTTAGGTTTCTACATATGTACATGGCTTTGAGGGCACAGTAAGATCAAAGCAGAGAGCTACTCTTTGTTCTGTTGTTTTGTGTGTGTGTGTGTGTGTGTGTGTGTGTGTGTGTGTGTGTGTGTGTATTCTGGATACCTGAGATTAAAAATTGAGGAGATGGAGGGGTGACAGCATACATTATTTTACTCCAAATTCAGCCAAGAACACAGATTTTGAAGTTTTTACAGGTGCCACATCTGGCCTGTCTACTCGGTTGCTACCCAAATGAGGGACGTCATTTCACTTCTCTGTGAGCGCCTGCTCTGTTCTCAGCACTAGGCACTACAGTGATAAAGTTCCACCTCCAGCTGAGCTGCTCGTTCTATTGGGAAAGACCCACAGTCAGCGAATGAATACATGGCCTGTCAGATGGTGCTGTATGCCATGAGGAAAACTGAAGCCGGGAAATGAATGTGATGCAATCTGGCATGAAGGGTGTGCTCTTCTAGCTAAGGTCAGAGAAGGTGGCATTGAACAGAAATAGGAATTTTCCCTGGCATTCCAGAGACATACTTTGACCATTCTCCATGTTCATTAAAAACATCCCACAGTAAATTCATGGGGAAGCAAGCAGAATACTGAGAAATCTAAAAACCATTAAGTAAGGGCCCAGCCCTAAAGCCTAGTGGTTAAGGGATCTGATCCCACTTGGCCTATCGTGGTGTGAATTCCAGCCTCAGTGACTTGAGAAACATGCTGGGCTTGTGTGGATGTGTGCCCAAATCCAGACAGGATGGAGAAAAAGAGGAAAGAGATTGTATGACCATGTCCCATGAGGGGCGCTTTTTCCCTCTCCCTCCCTCTCCAGCTAGTGCAGGATGTCCTCTGGCAATTTTTAAAAATGATTAAAAGCCATTAAATAGGGGGGTGGCAGGGGTTGAAGAGACAGAGGACATCACTTTGAAGGTGTCTTGCTCTGGCCAATTAGAAGCAGAAGGTTCTGATGTTGATGTGTTAACAGTCCTGGAAGGCCAGAAGAGGTGCACTGGGGCAGACGTTATAGAAGACACATTCCAGCTCCCTAGAAATAAAACATAATGTACAGAGGAATCATTTCTCCCAACTCTGAGAATTTAGACAGCTGAGCTGTCATCTGAGCTTTCCATTCATTCTCTGCCATCTCAGGTCTGTCTCCTTTCAGAACATCATTTCTCTCATCCATCTGTTGAGGAAGTTGAATCAATTAGTTTTAAGTTTTCCTCTGTCTCTTACACTCTGAATGTTATGCGTGCTGAAGAATGAATGGGTGGCTTAGGAGGGAGTGGATTTCCTACTAGGAAGTGTCCAAACAGGAACTGGACCACACATTTTAATGGATGCTCATTCATTGACTGGATAATATTTTTATCACATCCCTGCAGTGCATCAGGCATTGTACTGAGTACTTCACATGTGAGGGGACTCCAACAAGCTGTGGGAAAATAGAATTAAAGTACGAGTTTATTTGGGTACAAAAGTTTTTTGAAATCCACACATAGCATGCATAGTTTATATATGTAAACTATGCAGTTTCCATGAGCTTTTCAAAGACCTCTTGTAAATGTTCATTTAAAATCTCCATTGTGAAAAAAAAAATTACACTTAAGGAAATAGAAAAGAGGTAAGATAATTTGTCTAAGATCATAGAACCAGAAGTATAATCTTATATTCTGATTCTAAAAAAGAAAAAAAAAAATTCCAATATCCAAAGTGAGGATAATCAAATCCCATGCCCATGTGGCTTCCTTGTGCCTCTGGTCTAACCTACTGTTCCTAACACTGTTTTGTTTTGTTTGTTTGTTTGTTTTTTAAGAATTATTTTAACTTCCTATTGTCCTTCCTTTCCCTCCCTCCTTCCTTCCTTTCTTTCCCTCCCTCCCTTTCTTTCCTTCCTTCCTTTCTCCTTTCCTCCTTCCTTCCTTCCTTCCTTCCTTCCTTCCTTCCTTCCTTTCTCCTTCTCTCTCTTTTCTTTCTTTTTTCTCTCTTTTCTTTTTTCTCTTCTTCCTCTCTTTCTCTCATTCTTTCTTTCTTTTCTTTTCTTTTACTTCCTTCCTTCCTTCCTTTTTTTCCCCTTTCCTTTTCTTTTCTTTTTGTTCATTTGTTCATTATTTTTAAATTCTACCAAAGAAGGACAGAGCAAGAGATATTAAGTGAGAGAGCAGGTCGTCAGGTTCTGGATTCAAACTGTGGCCAGCCACGTGGGAGTCCAGCACCCTTAACTACCACACCACCTCCCGGCCCCAACACTGTTTTTTCCAAAAACTGATGCTGAGGACATCCTGTTCTGAGACCTGCACAGACTACATTCCTCTCCTGAAGTACTGAAGTCAGTATTGGTGTAGCCTGTTCTGCTCCTGTAAGCCCCAAACTGTAACGACTAGACATCAGCCGTTGCCCTCAGTGACGAGGGGCCGACAGCCTCAAGACCCCAGGGCAGAGTCAGTCACAGCTCTTGAGTTTCGATCCTTTGAAATATCTTTACCCTCTCAGTTGTGCTCTGGTATGAAGCCCATGCCTACATGTAACTGCTACCACAGGCTAATTTAAAAGGCAAGTAAGGAGGCCAACAGGTGGTGTTGTAGTTAAGGTCCTGGACTCCCACTTGGCCAGTCATGGTTCAAGTCTTAGACCCAGTGCTTGAAAAATCACTCCGGGCGCATGTGCATGCATGCCCAAAGTCCCAAGAGGAGAATGAAAGAAAAGGGATTGCAGCGTGGCCATTCCCCCTGGGGGGTGATTTCTCACTTTTCCTCTGTCCGTCTTTCTCTTTCTCTCTCCTCTTCAGTGAGCACACATACCCTATAGCAAAAAAACTAAATAAATAAATGAATAAAAAGGCAAGTAAGTGTCTTTATTCATAACTGGAATTAAATCCACTTTGGGGGGACCTGTGGACCACACACGTCCATTCAGCAATTCCGCGCTGAGCACTTCCTGCCCTCCAGGCACTGTCCTAAGGGCTCCCGATGGAGCAGGGGCACAGCAGCACTGCCACCCTCCGTGAAGTTGGCTCCCGGCTTATAAAAACTTTGGGAAATTGGAGAAACAGCTGCCTTGACAAATGCAAAGCATTTGATTGGTGCTTTCCTTGAAAACTGAAGAAAAGAAAGTCGTGGCAAATGCAAAATGTCTTTTGTATTAACAGGACAAATGGCACGTAACTGTCACGATCACATTTTTTCAAACAAAATTGAGACATACAGTCTGGCATTTGTTTTTGCTTTTCTTTCTAACCTCTAAAATTGATTCATATGAAAGCGTTTTTCAGAAGTGCAAAAATAAATCACATTTAGGAATGAATTCAGTGACTCACCTTTATTTAAATGATTGTAAAATCGTATCTAGTCCCAAACTGAGCCAAGATGGGACTACAAGACCATATCGTGTCTGTCTTGGGACCCACTGTTCTGAATACCTAGGCACAGGTAGGCATTTGGTAAACCTTGTTTAGTCCAATGGGTGACTGTTCTAGTATCTACTTACACAGTATTATAACACTTAGGACAAGTAGTACCCCCGGAGGACAAAGATATGGGTGCATTGTAAAGAGAAATGTGAAAGGGGGAAGAGAAGGGTGTGAATGATTGGTGGCACTGGTTAATGGCATCTGACATGCCTTTGGGACCGGAGGGAATTTTCAAATGAAAACACTGAAGTAAAAACTATGTTCTTCCTTTCGACAGGGCGTTGTTGCTGGCGCTCGTTCCAAGGGAGAACACAAACAGAAAATCTTTTTAACCATCTCCTTTGGAGGGATCAAAATCTTTGATGAGAAGACAGGGGTAAGTGAAAGAGTCACGTGGTGTGGGGAAATTGAATCCATTGACAGATATGCCCTTAGAAGCCTCTACTCTGGGCAGGAATATCAAACAAGCATAAAAACATATAAAGCAACTGACAAACTTGATCAACTGTGATCGTCCATCAAAGTGAGTGTCTTTGCTGACTTGGCCGCAGTGTGACGGCACTGTGTTTCTTACAGTGTAATTGTGACAAAAGTGTCACACCATCCTGGTAACCTAATGGGAGATTGATGAGCTTTGAAGAGCACCGGGTAATGTGACAGTTTAAGTTAAATTTCTTTGTGTGTTGGCAACTTTAATGACATGCGCCCTACAGGGAGACATGTGTAGGTCTTTTGACTCAGGCGGAGCATCCAGGCTCTCTTGAGTTTAACCTGTAGCACCTTGCAATTGCTGTAATCAAAAAGAATAAATAGAGTTCTCAATCTGAAAAAAAAAAAAAAATCTGTCGCTGCACAGCCAAGAAATGTGAGGGCTGATATGTGTGTTGAACCCCACTGAAGAAGTGGTTTGTATTTTCATCAACCTCACAGCTGCAATTAACTCCAAGACTCATCCCCAGAGCTTGCCTGACATTGTTGGTCCTATCCGTTGATGGCAAGGGCAAAACAGAGAACCATTCTATGTTTTGTTTTCCCAAGAAAGCCGGAGTCAAATGGATTTGTTTTTCCTTCTTTTTATTCAGTGTTTTACAGCTTATAAAACGCCTCCACATACATCACCTCCTTTGAACCTCACAAAGATAATTTATCAAGAGCTCTATAAATAACATTCAACCAGTCAAGTTACTTGACTGTAGTCATTTTGCATTATTATCTTCCTTATTCTGCTTGTAATGGATAACATAGGATAGTAGATGACAATTTAAAGGTAGAAAAGTGTTTTCTTGGGACCAGCAAATGGCATAATGGTTATGTCTCTGGACTCCCATGTAGTCAACCATGGTTTGAGTCCAGGACCTAGGGGCTTAAAACTCACTGGGCGCATGTGCATGTGTGCCTAAGATTTCAGGAGGAGAGTAGAGGAGAAGGAATTGCAGCATGGCCACCCCCCAGGGCGGGGGGTGATTTCTCACTCTCTGTCTCTCTCTATATCTCCAGTGAGCATACACGCCCTATAGCAAAACAAAACAAAACCTCTCTCGGGACCAGCAGTAGGTGTAATGGCTATGTCGCTGGACTCCCATGTAGTACACTGCGGTTTGAGTCTTGGACCCAGTGGCTTAAACTCACACCAGGCATGTGTGTGTGCATGCCTAAGATCCCAAGAGGAGAATGGAGGAGAAGGGATTGCAGCAAGACCAAGACCATCCCCCCTGGGGGATGATTTCTCACTTTCTGTCTCTCTGTTTCTTTCTGTCTTTCTGGTGAGCGCATGTGCCCTATAGCAAAAACCTCTTTAAAAAAAAAAAAATTCTAAAAAAAAAAAGTGTTTTCTTGAAGGAAGAAAAGTTATAGAAAAATTGCTCCAGAATAACTGGTGATAGAACACATATTTGTACACACATCCTCTTACCCGCAATAGCCGTGCATTGGGAGCCACCCAAGTGTCCTTTGACACATCTCAAGATAAATGCAATGAAGTATGGACATTGACTGCAGCACCGCGGAGCCTTAACGTGGAAAGAATTCTGACTTGCGTCGTTAACACAGATGACCCTCCCACACATGCTGAGGGAAGTACACCTGACACAAAATGACCAATGCCATATGATTCCACTTAGAGGACGTTCTTAGCGGGCTCAACATCATAGAGGTAGAAAGTGAAGTAGTGGCTGCCAGGGATTAGGGAGAGGGTGGATGGGGAGTTGTTATTCAATGGGCATGGAGTTTCAGAGTGGAAAGATGAAAATGTTCTAGAGATAGATGGTGGTGACAGTTGCACAAAAATGTGAAGCCACTTAATGCCATGGATGTGTTCACTCAAAAACTGTTCAAAGGTTAAAACTCTGTCATCCAAGTATATGTATATACACACACATACATACACCATAATTTAAAAATAACTAGTAGGGCCAGCGGTTGGTGTGGTTTTTAAGGTGCTAAACTCCCATATGGCTGACCACAGTTTGAGTCCCGGACCCAGTGGTTTGAAAATCATGTTAGGCTCCCCCGTACGTGTGCCTAAGATACCAAGAGGAGAAAAGAGGAGAGGTATCATGGCATGGCCACCCCCTGTAAGGGGTGATTTCTCACTTTCCCTCTCTCTGTCTCTCTCCTTTCCAGCAAGTGCACACATCCTATGACAAAAACCTGAAAAAAGATAAAAACTAGCTAGTAATAATGGTTTCCATTTGTTGAGTATCTCTTAGGTAGGTGCGTGTTAGCCATTTTACCTGCATTATTCAGTCTCATCCTCCCAACAGCCTTATGAGAAAGTAATCATAGCAACTTTGTTGAGTCCATGGTAGATGCCAGACATTGTTGTAAGCCCTTGGTGAGTACAAGGTCATTTAATCCTCACATCTGCCTATATTGTAGATGACACGATTCTCTCCAGTTTAGAGTTGAAAACATCGAGGACAGAAAAAGTGACATGACTGGTTGATCATAAGTGGTGGCAAAAACAGGATTAGAACCTAGAGAGTCTGGGTCATGAATTCTTTTGCTTGGTCATGATGCCTGTTACCCCTCAGGATAAGTGACTTCCTAAGTTTGCCTATGTTCTGTGTTCTTTTCTGAACTGGTCCATCAGGTGGAGTCTAAGAGGGACACAGGACAGGCTTGGGGGAAAGCTTAGTTCCTCATGCTCACCAGTCCTAGAGACAGGGCCACAGTACCCCACACAGGACCACAGGGGGAGGACATGAGGGGGGTCAAGAAGCAGGTATGTGTGACTGGGGGTGGGGGAGCCCCTAAACCAAGGTCCCTATTGGGTTTTCCACAGGCTAGTTTGGAGAATTTCATCTGGCTCTAAACTACAGAAGCAGTGCCCATATTACATGCAACACGGCCTTGGTGTGATTTAGGCAGAGAAATATTGCCTTCGGAGGTGTGCGGGCTAACAGAACAGGCATGGCCCTGGATTGGTTAGTTTGCATGTTGCAGACGTGCTCCTGGCCTGCCCTTCATTGTGATTGAAAACGTCTAGTCCTGAAAAGGGCAATCTCTTCCCAGCCAGAATGAATTTTTTCAATGTTAAAACATTATAGAAAACTTTTCATTGTTTGGAGTACAGTCCAGTATGGAGAAGGTAGAACTTGAATTTCATCTGGAATTGGCTTGGATCAAAAATGAGTGCAGTTTACCTGTCTGTGATAGGGGAAAGTGGGCCTATCTGGGGAGGCTATGGTAGAAAGGAGTTGAGACTGAGGACCCAGCACTGGTCGTGAAGGGGCCTGAAATCAGCAGAATGAGCTGGTAGCATGAGCCACTCCTGCCTTTGTGTAACCGTGGTTCCAGAAATCAGGGAAGTTTTTCTCTTTCCTGGAAAGACTATCATTTAAAGACAGGTGCTCAGTTTTGAATCCCACAGTTTAGAAGGAACATAGGCAAATCAAAGTTTATCCTGACGAGGAAGACATGGGCAGCTAGGGGACCGGAAACCATGCTGAGCTGAGACTTCTTGACACAGATGTAGCCCCATGGGATCTTGGGTAATGCACAGAAGGTGAAGAACTTTGGGTTTGTACAAACTTGGAGAATATTACTGGTCCTTCAGAATCCTTGACAGGAGTCATGACGATCAAACCTGAAAAGTACTTTCATGATGATTTATATGTGCCATATTATGATGTCAACTCTGGTCTCTTCCCAACTTCCCCTTCATCATGGTGACTGGCATATCCAATGTGGCAGAGGCAGTGTATCCTGTGCTGTCTGGGGGCCATGTTTATGGTTTTATTATTCCATCATATACCTCACCAACACATAGGCAAGATCCTAGTCACCTGTATTTTAACTAATGAAGATACCACCAAACCTCTTAGCACTTTTTTTTTTTTTTTCATTTGTTACCTGGGCAATAAACAATGACAATGAAAGTGTTATTTCAGCCCAAAGTCATTTGGCTTTGTGCAGAAAATGTCAGCTCTCTGTGGAGAATCAGGAAGGATGCAGAGCTGAGTATTTTCTGCCTGGCTTAGACTATGCCCATTCTGTTTGATCGTTAGCCTCAGCAGCATCCACCTTCTGCAACCTTGCTTGTTAATACACCTCAATCCAAGTCCTGAAAACACAATCAGAAGGACTGAACGTGTTTAAATCTGAGTCGAGATAGTAAGGGGCAGGTCACTCCATATCGTTAATGTTCGTTTCTCCAAAGAGTTGTCTACTGAAAGAAATAGCTGACTTGTTCTGTGTGACCTCAAGGATGGGAGCCAGGACCAGGCAAGAGAAGTTTCTAGGAGGCCGTTTCAACTTATCACTAAAAAAACTGTCTTATCAGTCAGGACAATTCAACACAGATGGGCTGCCCTTTGTGCACGTGAGTTCCCCATCCCCAGGGTAATCAAACAACCACCATGTAGTGGGATAATATTAAACAGAGTCAAACAGAGGAGGAGGTAGTGAAGTCTTCGCTAAGTTGATTTCTGAGACTAATTTTAAGATTCTGTTTTTCCTTTAAAGTTGGTGCCTATTGATATATTTTTATTGGAAGAACCTGCACTGGAGATTATGCAAGAACATTTTATTAAACCTTTGTCATTGCCCAGCAGGGGACTGACTGCATTGTGCCAGATAAGAGTCTAAGGGAACTATTTGCCCTACATATCAAAGAAATGAAAAACTGGGTCTTTGTCATCTGGAATGACAAATCTTAGTTGTTTATCTTGTCTAAGGTATTTTTGCTCAAGCCTGACTGCACTTTTTTTTTTTTTTAACTGAGAAAAGAAACATTTGCAGAATGTGACAATAGCTGGAATTTTAAAATCCAAAAGCTGTCAAACATGTTTTGATCCCAATTAAAGAGACCCTTTGCAGTAATTTACACCCTGTCTTGAATTTCAAAAAAGTCCTGATCCCATTCCTTATATGAGT